GAAAGATCCAAATTATATAAAAAAAAACTGAAATGATGAAATAAAATTTGGGAAAAAATAAATCTTGCACTGATCTAGATGAATAACCCCAACCCATCAATGATCAGGGCAAGAGAAACCCAGATAAAACAACATCGAAAGATCTCAGAAATAAAAATGATGAATACTATAAAAACCCATGGCATTATCGCAGAAACATAAACCCAATATGCTAAACGAAGAAAAGTACCAAAACCCAAAATGAAATTTGAAAGAATCGTTGTTCTATTAAAAAATCAGAGGTGGGATCGGCGAATACCTCTGGGTTGTTGTGGAAGAACTGCTGCTCTAGCGTGCTCCATGGTTTGCTGAGATCTGTAGCCTTGTAGGGTTTCTGGATCCAATAAATTCACCCCAAGGAAAGTCTCCTTTCCTTCTTTTATCTCTCTATTTCTCTGTTTGCTCTGCGCTTTGCGTTTCTTGTTTCATGAGTCTAATAGTAAAGCAAAGGGCACTATTTGAAGCTCCCGAACCGACGTTAGCCCCAACGGTCGAAATTTCAACCCCAACGGTCATATTTTCTTATTTGAAATCCGGACCGTTGGATTTTGCATACGGCTAAGATTCATTTTCAAGAAGGGTTTAAAATCGTGGTGTAATTGGTAAGTTTCCTATTTGGCATTTGCCGTATGACACACCAACAACCTTGGGTGTTTTACCATATAACCCACATCAAAATTAACATGTCTCGTCTGGCAGATTACAAACGTATCTCTTTTTTCTTTTTTCCCTTTATTGTTTTATTTTTAATTTTGTGTTTCACTTGACATGACAATTCTACCAGGGGGATTCACGAATTTATTTATTTTTGGTTTCTAAAAATTAATTAAACGATGTAATCAACTTCCCATAGGGTTTGAATAAAAATAAAAAAATAGCTAAAAATTTCATAAATATATGGGCCTTAAGTTTTGTTTGTTTTGGGCCTTTCCCAAATGCTTTAAAGTCTAATATTTTCTGTCTTTCGTTGGGTAGTGGAATTGAACCTCTCGTTAAAACTCCCTCACCAATAGGAGCTTCTATAATGAAGCGGATTTTGGTGACGGATTCAATGAAAAGTTTAAACTAACCATTCAATCATTAAAAAGTTCAAGTTCAATATTTTCTCTCTTGTGTAGTGAGATTGAACCCCTCACCCACAACTCCTTGTTATAGCATTTTTGCCTCACTCACGACTCCTCATTATAATATTTCAACGACTTGTATGCTCAAAAAGGTCATTTTTTTTGGGGTAATTTGTGGGTTCAGGCCCATCTACATTTCATGTCATCCAACGCAAACCCAATAATAATCCCAATTTGAGTGAAACCTTTTTTTATTTTTGCATAACAAAAACTTTGGCCACATTTTGACATGTTTAAGCCAAAAACATAATCATATATTCAATATCAATTTGGCAATACAAGCAGAGATTTAAATAGGAAATGCAAAGACAAATGACAATCGAAACAAGAACCCAGCAATATCAACACAAATCCAACTAGCCATTAGATTTCAAATCCTTATTACGCCCCAGCATTACACAAACCCAACTGAATGGTTCAACGACTTGTCGTCTCAGAACAAGCCAAAACAAAGACTAAGGCATAAAGCAAACATCTACAACTAACTACATGCCGTTTAAACATCATAGACTAGATAATTCCTAAATTGCTCTCTGAATCTCCTCAAGCCCTCTCGCCTCTGATCCGACGCGCGAGCTGGATGTCCTTGGGCATAATGGTGACTCTCTTGGCATGAATGGCGCAGAGATTGGTGTCCTCGAACAGACCCACCAAGTAGGCCTCCGCCGCCTCCTGCAGCGCCGCCACGGCACTGCTCTGGAACCGGAGATCGGTCTTGAAATCCTGAGCGATCTCCCTCACAAGCCTTTGAAATGGAAGCTTGCGGATCAGGAGCTCAGTGCTCTTCTGGTACTTTCTGATCTCTCTCAGAGCCACAGTTCCTGGCCTGAAACGGTGAGGCTTCTTCACCCCTCCGGTCGCCGGGGCTGACTTACGGGCAGCCTTCGTGGCCAGCTGCTTGCGTGGCGCTTTGCCTCCGGTCGACTTACGGGCAGTCTGCTTAGTACGAGCCATTTGGAGTTGGTCTTGCTGTGAAAGATGGAAGGATTTGGGTGTTTGGTTAGCGAGAAGATGAGAGAAAAAGGAGGCCGATATGAATTTGTGAATTAGAGAGGTTTTGATGAGATTTATTTATAGAGTGAGAGAGTGGAGAAGCGGCGGGTTTGAAATTTTGGTCAAATTTTGAAAGTTTTGGATCGGTGGATATGGAGCGTTGATTCGTATTGTTATCAACGGTGGATATTATTTGTTGTAGGTTGTTAGGGATAGCGATCCGTGTGCACTGTAAGTGGACCAATAAAATTGGTTTATTCTAGCGGCAACGGAATATTTTCACTCCTTTTCAATTTTTGAGTTGGCGGGTCAAGTATTCGAGTGTGGATTGAACATTAAGGATCAATGAAATTTGGGCTTCATTCAATGAACAATCAAACCAGCCCGGTGTGTTTCACTTTGGGCTTTCAAACTTTTATTTTTACAAAACAATATTCTAACTACTTTAATATACGAGGAGGGAAATTGAATATGGTGCATGGGAGAGTGGACACGCTGTCTTTCACTAACTGATCTAACTCACATATGCAAAGGACTTTCTAACATCAGACGAACATGGTCTCTTCTTTGTCTTTAAATTACGTTCATGAGTCATGGCATAGATAGTTTCTTTTGTTTTTCTTGCTCAAGCACCCAACTAATCATGCCAATTGCCAAGTAATTTTGATATGCTTATGCTTAGGAAGTTAGACAGTAAATTTCAAGCCATGGAATGGAACCCACAAAGTTAAGCAGCAGAATATTGGTCTGCATGATGAACCTCATTCATTACCCCATCTCAAAAATATGCTTCAAAGGCAACTTGAATTCATGGTGGCTGTCTAGACTAATTTTATAAGCAATACTTTTTTTTTTCTTTATAATCCTCTTCTTATTATTATGGCACCACCAATTTTTTTTTAATGTGGATCAAAGTTCAAACCCTAGTTCTCAATTTAGCTCAGAGTTTTTAATGATGATTCTTCGGTATATTTCTTTGTTAGTTGGAACTTGATCCGGGTATTCTCCAAAATGATGATTCTGAACAATATGGGTGTCCACAGGTTTGCAATCTAGCATTCCTCTGTCTGTCAACAAGTCTAAGACATATTTCTCTGTGATCAGGCCACCTCAATCCCCAAGAAATACTTGAGTCCACCTAGATCTTTCATCTTAAACTCAGTAGACAAATAGTCTTGTAATTGAGATATTTCATGTTTAACATTCATAGTAATAATCATATCATCAACATAGATTAATAAAGCTGTTCCATTCCCTTTATGATGTTTCAAGAATAGAATATGATCTGAGTTACTCTGTTTGAAACCATTGTTATTCATTGCCATGGTGAACCGTCTAAACCATGTGTGTGGTGACTGTTTCAATATGTACAATGCCTTTTGTAATCTATATACTTTTCCAGTTTGAGTAGTATTATATCCAAGAGGAATGCCCATATACACCTTCTCTGCAAGTTCACTATGCAAGAAAGCATTCTTTACATCAAATTGGTGTAATGACCAATCCAAATTAGCTACAAGGGACAATAAGACTCTGACGGTGTTCAATTTTGCAACTGGTGCAAAGGTTTCTTCATGGTTTATACCATAGGTCTGTGTGTACCCTATTGTCACAAGTCTTACCTTGTATCCTTTGATAGATCCATTAGCATTGTGTTTTATAGTAAACACCCATCTACATCCGACAATCCTTTTTCCTTGTTGTATAGTCTCCAGTGTCCAAGTCTAATTTTTCTCAAGAGCTTTCATCTCATCTTTTATAGCTTGGATCCACTTAGGATATTTCAATGCTTCAGAAACCTTAGTTGGAATATGGATAGCATACAACTAATGCACAAAAGCCTTGAGTGGTTCAAACAGCTTCTCAGTGGATACATGATTGCAATTGGATACTTGGATGTCTTGCCAATATCAGGTAAATAACAGTTTGGTGGCTTCCCATCCTTTTGCCTGGAAGGTAATTGATATCTAATAGATTTATCAATGCATAACAATTGAGAAACGGTTTGAGGTTCGGTAGAGACAAGAGCAGCACAACCGGAACTAATGGTAGTTTCTCTGAGCTTGCAAGCTTGGAGTTCCTCCCACCATTTAGGATAACCATTCAATTTAAAGTAGGTGTCGCGGGTATGTTTAGGGTTGCCACAGTGAGTGCAACTACTTCCATCAATTGGAGACTTGGGACGGGAGGGTGGGATGGTTTTGGGAGGTGGTGCACCAACATCAGTAGCATATAACTGGATTTGAAGGAGCACTCTTGGCTGCTAAGCCAGCGCCAGTGGGTATGGATGAACCTATCATCACAGCTTGTCGAACATATTCACAGTGGACATAGGCATAAGCTTGGTCCACGGTGGGGAGCGTAGTCACGAGAAGAACATCGCTTCAGGCCTTATCAAGACGATTATCAAGGCCATCCAAAAATATGTAAACTTAATCTTCCTGCTAAATATCATTATAGCATTGGATATCACATTCATACTCCATCATATTTGGTCAACGAAATCAATCTCTCTCTATGAACTTTGGAGAATATTGCAATAGGTTTCAATAGAGCCACTAGCTTGTCCCATACAGGAGACTTGTCGTTTAAGATCATACACCTGAGAGGTTTCAGTGCCATCATAGAAAGTCGTGGCAATTGCATCCCACACTACTTTTACTGTTGGAAAGCGAATGAAATTGCCAATCAAGCTTTGCTCCAGATAATTGATGAGCCATACTTTCACGATGGAGTTCTCGGTGTGCCAACGGGGAAACATTAGAGCAGTCGTAGGAGGTTGTGGAAGATCCCCATTAATATAACTACATTTGTCTTTGCCAGATATATACATCTCGACAACTTGGGGACCATAGGGCATAGTTGGCTTGATGTCGATATGTGCAACGAAAGGTTCATAAGTAATCATTGTTAGGATCGTCATCTAAGTTGGGTTCGGGGTCGTTGTTTGAGTCGGGTTCGGGTTCATCATCTGAGTCGAGTTTAGGGTTGCTGTCTTAGTAAGTTCGAGGTCATCTTGGTAGGATCCTGATTTAAGACCAGGTTCGAGGTTTGAGTCTGCATCTTCAAAAGTTGAGCCATTTGGACACTCAACTCGGCTATAGTTGGTTGAGAATGAGAGGAGGAAGTAGTGGTGCTATTGCCATGAGGATCGGGATAGTCATCCTCCCCCATGGTGGTGGCTAGGGTTTAGAATCTAGAGTCAGCAATCCCAAGATCACCGCTCTGATACTATGCTAAAATATGAGAATTATGAGATAATATTTGTTTGTAGGAATTTTCTGTGTATTGCTCTCCTTGTAGGAGGTCATATTTATAATACACCAAAGCCTTAATAGCCAAGTAAATAATAAATTCAAATTTCTATTTACAGTAAGAAATAAGGAATTAAAGTCAATCAATTACAATTATAATAGGAATCCTTGGTGTGTAAGGAAAGTAAGTCAATAGTCCACAAGTCACGCCAACACTTTCTACTTATCCTTCTACATACGCCATTTTTCACCACTTCTCAAACTGACCACAAAATACCCTTGGGCTCATCCCTCACTGCTTTGGATGACAGCTCTATCTGGCCATCACCATCTGGCGAATTTTCTTCCGGTTTCCAAAGAGTTGGTAAAGATGGTGGCTTTATAATATCCATTTGGTTTAACAAAATACCAGAAAAAACCATTGTCTGGTCAGCCAATGGACAGAATCTTGTGCAAGAAGGATCCATAGTTGAACTCAGTATCATTGATCCATTTGTCTCCACAAGCCTGGGATAAGGTTTGCTGAGAGTGTGGCAATGGAAGAAACTTCTCAACCCAATCATGCAAATCTTGGAAAAGAGAAAGGTCTTGTACTTTGCAGTTGAATGTTCAATTTGGTGTTTCAGTTTTCTTTCCTTCCCTTTGGCATCTGCTCAATATATATCACACGGTTCGGGAGGCAAGAGCAACTCATCCTCTTCACAGCTAAATTAGTCACAACGTGATTTCGATCTGGATCCAAAAACTATATCAGCGATGTTTATGTCTCCCCACCACCGGATCACAAACCCCATCAGCACCTATATTTTACTTATAATATATAGCATGAGTATCTTCAATTTGGTAACAATGTCATGGGATGCATTGCACAATCGACCATAAAATAAGCAGAACACGAGTGGTATTTTACCATCTCTCTCTCTCTCTCTCTCTGTGTATATATATATATATATATATATTAATGAAAGGGAATAGCTAGCTCTTCTATCCATCATTCCAGCTCTGCCTGCCTGCCTCCCGTCCCCGGTGACGAGTTCTGTATCACTCTGGCTAGGAAATATTTAATTTATATTCATGTGGTACATTTTCTGTGTCAGAATCATTCATCACCTTCCATTTCCTACCAACTAGTTTTTTAATATCATACACATGCATATGCTGCTAGTGTTCGAAAAATCGGCCTAGGCGGCGGCCTAGGCGGCGCCTAGGGGTGGCCTGGGCGGGTCTGGGCGCCTAGGCTAGTCCTTCATTTCCGAGAGCTTTAGGCGGCACCATGTGGTAAACTAAGCGAAGAAGATTTGGCTGGATCTGCTCCACGTGCTTGCGGGGGCAGCACCAGGTGGTAAACGCGAAGAAGATGACCTAATGGAATGCGCTGTACGCATCGTTTTGTTGGGTAGGAGTTATTAAGCTATACGTATCGTTTTGGTAGGTAGGAGTTATAAAGCTACGTATCGTTTATGGGCCCAACAAACAAAAACCCTTTCGGTCTATACCCAAAAATTGCAATGTAATATTTTTTAACTAATTAGAGTATTACTATATGCTTTATATGCTAAACTTTCTCCCCATGTTTTATATCAATTATATGGTACTTTCTAATTTAGGCCTCTAATTTATATATCATTTTATTTTGCATGATATTGTTATAAATTTATAATTATAATACAAAATGATTATAAATAATAATAAAAAAAGAAATGTCTAGGCTTTGATTACTCCTCCAAGCACTAGGCCCCTGCCTGCCACCCAACTACCGCCTAACGATTTTTTGAACATTGACATTTTATGTTCTTTTTC